GAATCATCGGAAAACGAATTTCCCTTTTTGCAGGAATGACAAACGGTACAACAGATTGGTGTCAGCGCGGTTCCTTCTCCGACTGACGATTGCATTTTTTATTCCAACTGGGAACCGACGTTTGATTGGGGGACGTTCGATAATCAGCTTTGAGATTGAACATCCAATACAGCCACTCCAATGATCTGAACGACGGGGGCGATTCTCTTTTTGCCTCCCCTCGCCTTTTTCCCGCGATTTAATTAAGCCTTTCGATAATCGGAAAGATGAAGGAAGGAGGGGCCAAACGAAACCGCGTCCGCGACGCAGTGAATGCTGAAAATCCGATTAGGAAATCGCTACGACGGAAACGCCTTCAATTATTCGTCTCGTTTTTTCATTTTCTATTCGCAATCTTTTTATGAGAAGGGAAGACTTTGTAATGTGCTATCTTCATATATTTGAAGATTTACAACGCGTCAAATTAAAATTCAACTTTCATCCAGGGACATTGTTAAACTAAAAAATGATTTATCTTCCCATTCCTTGTTCGAAACTTCTACATAGGAATTCTCCCCTAATCTCGAACGTATTCTAGTAGCACTCGCAGTATAACAACCTTCTTACGGTTTTTTCCACACTCAATTGCTCCTTAAAATCTTCCCCGTTTCAACCATAACCAAGCACGCGAACGCGGCCCGATTAAAAGGCAACATGTGTCCACATACACGCGCCATATGGCGGCGTGTCGTTGCTACACGAAAATAGTTGACATTCGCCTTATGGCGGTAAATATTTCAAGCGTAATTCATCCTTGGGCGACGTTCGACAGCAATATGTAAAGCGTCCACGACCGGTGGTCGAATTTGCACGCTGATTAAATGAACCGTACGTCACCGCGAATCGAACGGACCGCAATTTGTCCACGAATTAACGATGAGCCCGGAAACGGACGTTTTACACGTTCGCCCAAAATGGAATCTCGATTCGTAAATTACATAAACCGAACCCCGTCGCCCCGTTTCATTTTCGGAAACGAGATCGGTGGAAATTCATTTGCGAATTAAAGCGTCCGTCGGGGTTGTTTAACATCGTCGCCGTGGGGTGAAATTTACCGACGAGCCCAATGGACGAGAGTATCAAACGGAAATCGCGTACCGCGCTCGAGTAAATTAATTTTACGCGAATCGAGCGCCGCGGGAAGCCGGGAATTATTTACTCCCCGATACGAAGATTCGATGAAATGTTCACTTTTAAAGCGGCTTTATCAATACCTGATATCGCAGCGGAAATTCCACGGAAAATAACCGACGTGCTGCGTCGACCGTGTTTCGTCAATAGGAGCTCCTGTGTGAGGGGATGAATTTTTGTTCGGTGCTTTGAAGTGCTGAACAGATTGATAAGAGAAGGGTAATTGCTGGGCAAAGTGGTAGAATGGGATCAGTTTTGGTCTAGCTGAAAATAAAATAATTCTGTCGGCTAGTAGAATAAGCTAGGTTGTGGTCAGACTAGGTAAGGGACAGTTAATAGAATACGATCATTTCTCGTCGAACTTCTGATTATTTACCAGAAATACTTCTACGCCAACTCGAGGAGAGTGTTTGCCTGCTTAACCGAAGTATTGTCCTTGATGACCCTCATTGATGACGCGTGCGGCATTCAACGTGCTAATGATGCCTCATTCACAGCTTCCGCGTAGCTTTACGCGCTGAATCTCAATAACGAGTATACAACACGGAATCGATAGACATTTCCCGTCGAAGACTTTGAATGGCACATCCGAACAGCTTCGGGTATAGGTCGCGACGGAAAATTCTCTTTGGCGTCTTTATTTATATCAAAGTACAGACTCAAATATATTCGACCGAGTCTTGTTATACGAATGGAGAGAAACCCGTATCGACGGCGTAGTCTTGGGAAATCGAACGCTACGAGAAAAGAATTTCTTGCAAGGGAATAACGACCGTGAACTGAGAAATGTCGATGTCAAATTCTTTCATTGGCTGTGAACAATCGAAAAAGTGTTGTAAAACTTTCTGTAATATAGTTTCCAAAGGCTGACATTAGCGATCTCGTGACATTTATAGGAAAAGTCGTCGGTTATGAAGTCTTTTTTATGAGGTAGTTCTGAAAAATTCATCTCAGGTTTGAGGAGTACTAATTAACTATTACCTCGAGGTGTTTGTAACAGTGACGACTTTTTTCTGGTTCAAGTAATAGTGATTTGATTCGTATTTTTTGTAAACAAGGAAATTCAGTCTTGCAAGCAATGGATAAGTCCAATGACGTTTACATTTGTGTAAGTCAATGAATATTGAAAATATATTCTTGAAAATACGATAAATATTCTATTCTCCCCCAAAAGGTCTTTCGAATCTCCTCCACGACACCTGAAACACAATCAGACATCTGTATCAGGTTGGATCGATCAGAAATTATTCACCCATGCCCACTCGTTACGTCACGCTGTCGTTATCAAACTGATGAAAGGGTTACGTAAATTTCCGTAAGCGACAATTGTAGAAAGGGGAGATAAGCAGTGAAACGAATCCGCTTGGATCGCGTCCGAAGTGACAGTTGTGAAACGGATAGCCAACAGCGTTGGTCTCGTGAAATCCTGAATCGGTTTCGGTCATCTTTCACCGTCGCGGAATAAACGCCAGAGCGAAACGGAAGTGGCATACATGGTGCAACGTGCAACTCTATCTGGCTGAAAATTGTCTCTCTATACCCTTTGTTTGATGTTCGATATCTCTTCGACGGTGATCCTGCCAACGAAAGCGATCCCAAGTGCTCCGGATCTCCGAACATCGACAGCCTTTTCGGTACAATAAAAAATTTTTATTTCAAAGATGATTCAAGTGTCGTAAATAAAAACGTAAATAGAAATTAGCTTTAGTACTTTCTATGTTTGCTGACGTAGCTGACTAAGCCACTTCCTAAGAGTGGCTCTTTTCACGGATGAAATAACCCGATCGACTCGTTATTTCGCGGAATTAGCTATTTATACCCGAGATCGATGAGCGAGGCGATCAAAATCCATCTTGATCAACGGTATGTAGACGAAAGCGAGTGAAAGGGCTGTTCCATTGATTAACCGACCTCGCATCGACCTTCCGCCTAGAGCTCCAAGTCAAAGCTACCCCGCGATGCGTGAAAAAATAATAGGGAAAACCAACCGAGAGAATCTACGACGCAAACTGCTAGTTACGTTGACGGTTAATCGCTCGTCCACGTATCACCTTTGTCGACGCTAAGCGATTAGTTTCAGCTACCATCGCTCCTACACAATTTTTCAATGGCAACCGCGAACAATCACTATCGCAAATAGTGTCACGGTTGGCAAATAGTCCTTCTATCTGTTGGACAAATTTACTGTTATATATATTGAGGCTTTTATGTACAATAGTGAAGGGATGTTAGATAATAATAATAGAATATTGGCATAAACTAGCACTTTTGTTGAAACTAAAACTACCGGGGGGGTTAATTTGACCACTGTACCATGTGTATTGTTGAGTAATTATTTGGGTGATGATTTCTGTAACAGTTTTTCATTCAAACTTCGTTCGAAAGTCACTCGATTATTAGTAATATTTGTGTCGAAACATTTTAAAAGAGAATTATTTTCCTTATTACCATTTCTCGTTCTGGTTTTGTAAATATAATCAATCTCACTTCTATTAGTCGTTTCCCTTCACATTATTCTCAATTTCACACTCAACAAACAACGGCCTGACAAACAATCAATGGCATCAAACGATCCAAACACCCAAATAAAATAATTCAGTCCACCCTCGCCCACTCATTTCCGTATACTTATTTATTCAATATCATCTGGGTCCTTCCAAGCTCCAAACTACCGTTTTGTTGCCTACGTGTCTAAGTTCCCGCGTGTCCCCGATGCGAAATCAGCAAATGTTCGACGAACGTGCCCAGTTCCCGGGTTCGAGGGGAGCTTGCGGCCCGGTTAAACGGCGAACCGAGCGAAATCGCGTCGAAACGGCCAGGAAGATCGCCGGTAGCCTTAATTACAGCGTCCCGTTACGCGAGCCGAGACGGATAATGGACGTGCTCGCGAGAAAACAGCCACGAAATGCGCTTCCACGCGACGGAATTAATTAAGCGTTAGCCGAGGGAAAAGAAGAGAGGAAAGCTTGTACGTTCATTCTGATAAGCTCGGAAACGCTCACGCCCGCTCGGAGCGGTTAACCCTGCCGGCGGTCATTTGTCTTTGAAAGCTTTAACGCCGGCCGCATCCGAATTGCAAATTCGAGATAATGGAAGACGTGCGGGTGAATATAAACTAGCCCCCTCCTTGTACCCCCTTCTTTGTGTAGCGGGACACTGGCGTTTCTTCGACGGTGGACGTGAGTCTGTTACGGGCGGATCAACTTACGGAGCGGCGAGGATCCAAGTTTAAGACCTAATTACCGAACATCCCGACAGGCACGGTGCACGCTCGTCTTCCGTATCGAGGCGCTATAGATTTCTGGGAAACGGGTTAGCGCTTCAGGGTGTTAAGGAGTGAACGCGGCATTATTTATTTTGAAACAAATAAACCTGGAACCAAAACGATTGGTATCGAATTTTAATTGTAAAGTGTAATACATTATCAACACAGAAATGAATGAAATATTCCAAAATGAAATTTCCATTTGATAGAGACGAAATGGTTCGAATATCAAGTATGCAATTTATAAGAGCACGCTTTAGCATTCGAGATTGTCGAAATTTGAAAAAAACACTCAGCGAATACGTTTGGAGTGGGCGATAATTTAGAGCGACGTAAATTGCAATCGTTACAAGGGCTGCAATTACGGTATCTGCGCGCGGATCGTCCAGGACACTTGATGCATTCCGCGAGATCGCCAAACACGCTGTATGCACAGCTGTTGCGCGTAATCGCGTGCAACGTCTGATTTAGCGACGGTGCGACCGCGCCATTAAAAAGCGTTTCGTAACCAGAGGGGTAATCGTAACAGAATGCGGATGTTTGTTTCAGAAAGTTCGAGGCAAAGGTGAAGCGGTGGAAGTCGTAAAAGTCGCGGCCAAAACGGCGATAGAAGAGAACGGGGTCAAGGGTGGGACCGTTACCGAAATCGAGTAATTTCCGGGTTCCATCCAGATGCCACTGCGTTTGTCTTCAACTGATGGCAATTTCACGACTAACCCATCGTCACGGCCTTCGATCGCGATTCGGAGCAGCGGAGATATTAGAGGCGAACTTTGAAGTCTAATATGGCTCTGAACGATTCGCGTGAAAGCGTGGAAGGTTAGTAAAAGTCATCCTTCTTTCTGGATGTGATTTAATGTTACTAAAACGAGCCTCGAGACTGGGGCTCGCAGAGTTTGAGTCATAAACGTTTAGAACTCTTCAAATTTAGATTGTAAAATATTAGAGTTGAGGATCTCTAGTTTAGCTTCTATATCGTTTGAATGTAATCTACATCACCGAATTCTGTATTACCGATGCTCACCGAAGGAGCACGATACATTACCCATAGACGGTACTCATTCCCCCTACTATATGTACAAAATATATAAAAATATACACAAATAAATCTCAGAGGTACTTACAGCTGTAACCACAAAAAGTTGGACCATTTACTTGGTAATGCAGAGTGATCTGTCGATAAGGGTCGGTAATGTAGAACTCTTGATTAGTAAAACAGTCTGCTCTTCTGGTGATATAGATCGCTCTATCGATATAGCTCTGCAATAAGGTTTCTCTGTTACCAATCATCGATAGCTGAAAAAATCAAATTCGCGATATCCGATAATTCTCGTTTTTAGGGTGTTTCTATTACAACAAGATGAAGGATAACGCATTACGTCGACAAGACGAGGAGATCGACTAGCTGAAATCGCGTGAAATTTCCATCACCTTGGCCGAATGCGTCATGTCGTCCTACGAAGGACGCGTCTACGAGCGGAATCTTACTTGAAGTGGCAAAGCCGTAGGGAAAACGGCTTCGAAGCTTGGAAATTACAATGTCAACGCCCGCTACCGACCCGCTGCCATCCACCGTTTCCGGGGAATTGACGACCGCCCTTCTGCCGACGGTTACCAAGATCGATACGCGGCTGGATGTCAATCCAATTTCGGTGGTTTTGGCGGTGTCAATAGTCTGCATTTTAGCACCAATCACCATCACGGGAAACTCCATTATTCTGGCGGCGTTCTATAGATACAAGAGGCTACGGACTGCATCCAATTACCTCCTGGTCTCCTTGGCCGTCAGCGACTTCGGGGTAAGCGTTAAAAGACTTCTATAGAAACGAGTTACTGTCGTCAGAAAATCGTGAACCTCAACATGGTGATCTCTAAATCCTATTAGACCGTACAATTTTTTTGATAATCTTAATCAGGGGTTTAGAAAATATCACATTCTATTTTGTAATATGGAAAGACGTAATCTTCAGTCAGAAATGACCCCAGCAGGAATTCATTCGACCCCCAGGTCGATAATTGACTCGATCACATCCTACTGGTCGATAATCCAATACTAGCGATTAACTGCCAATGTCAGGAAAGTGTTGTTACATCATTTAGCCAGCTTTTCATAGAACCAGTCTCGGATATTTGTCGATATCTGGTGTCAAATCGTGCACATAGTAAATGCAATATTACTTTGACGCAGATTGGAGTGTTTATGCCCTTTGGGATGCAGCTGGAGCTGTCCGGTCTCCCGGAGAATGGCGTGTCCACTTTGTGCATAATCCCTTACTGCATAGCGATCGCGCTGTGCAGCGTGAGCGTCCTGGTGACCGTGGCCATCGCCGTCGATCGCCTAACTTCGCTGGCGCAACCCCTCAGATACAAGAACATCATCACCCACAGTAGCATCGAGAAGTACATCGCTGTCTTCTGGATCTACGCGATCGCCGTGGGCCTCTCGCCGTTGATTTACGCGAAGACCATAGGCGAGACCCAACCTCACAGGTGAGGATCATTCTTGAACCTGTAATCCTTCTTCGTAGAATTTTATTTCAGACCATAATACATAGACAAAACGTGGTAAATGTAATAATATCATTGGAATTATGTTTGAGTTGGCAATTGCCATTTTCCCTGTTAAATTAGAGTGTGAGTCACGCGATTCTATCGTGCCAAGCCTGTGTCACGATTAACGATACACGAGTTGATCGATTCAATGATACCTAGCTTGACATGACGATGGTATTTTATTTCACTTAGATCGTCCTTGAAGCGTTTAAAATTCTCCGTCAAAGCGCATGTTACTCTAATTAAACTCCTTTCTTTTTTTCTTTGTACAAAATTAAATTAGAAAATGTTCCGCGACCTTGTCAATGCTTCTCCCAACATAATAAGTTCTATTTAAAGAATTATTCTCATCGATACAAGTATTGTCACGAATTTACTCATTTTTTTATATTCATATTGAAGACTACTAATGTAATTAATATATTTGCATTAAATACATTTTTTAATACAATATGCAATTCTACTGATATATTAAAAGAATAATGTCTTTTAATAAAAGTATCGTTACGAATCCATTTTTATTTTGGGTTTACACAGATTGTCCAAAACACCAACGGATATCGAACCAAAAATGTACGTCACGCGAATCCAGAAAATACTTTCTATTGAATATTCATCAATCTTCTCTTGTTTATAAATATTCTACAACGGTGTCGAGTTACCATGGACACGAGTCGACAGATGACGCGAGTACTTTGTCTTTTATCAAGTTTCCTGTCTATTTGCCATCTCGTCTTATACGAGGGCTCGTAAACTCGCAACTGTGCGAGCCAACAAACAAAACGAAACGCAAAGTAGAACCTCCACTCGATAGAGGCCACCAGATTAAACTCGTTTTATCGTTCGCCCGTTATCGTCTTCAACATCGTTTGCCATGACAATTCACTTTTCCGTTACAACCGTCGAGGTAATCGAATTACTGTGCAAAACGCGTGGGGGGCGCGGATTGTTGAAACGTTAGATTCTATGAGGATTCCCTCGATCCCCAATATCTGCCCCAACGGATATTAGGGGTAGCATCTGGTATTAAATTTGAGCGAACTTCGATACTAAAAGTTACTCGGATACGGATTGTCTGTAGCAACCGATACGAATGAACACAGTTGCGGGCGTGTTCTGGTTGGATTCATGCGACTAGAAGATTAATAATTATTTGAAATAACTTTTAGTAGTTCCGTAAAGGACTCCAAAACCTCGGTAATTTAAAACGTTGATTACTCGCTCGTTCCTATTGAACTTTCTAAATGAAGAAACAAACGAAAACAATTTCGTTCGTTTCGCAAGCGAATCAACGTCGGACGCTAGTCATTCTGGCCCCACGTGCCTCACGTGTGAGTGAACGCGTACACGAGGGGATAAAGAATGAAACTAATTAGACGAAAGTCGAATGGTTGCATAACGAAAACCGGCTAACGAGTAACATTGATTGGGTTTCTATTGCAGCGGGAACTGCAGGTTCGGGGCAGCGGTGCTTCCGCCTGTGAGGGTGTTCCTGGTGGTCGCCGTATGGGCGCCAAGCGCCCTCGTGCTTCTGGGTTGCTACATGTACGTGTACCTGGTGGCTCGTGCACACGCACGTGCGATTTATACGGTGGAACTGTCGTTCAGGCATCAAACGCAGACCATGGCATTGCCGCGTTACGGTCAAACACTGGCAGTCACGGTCGGCGCGTTTCTCATCCTCTGGCTTCCCTTTCAAGTGAGTAGAGAACACACGTGAGAGAACCCTGCGTGTCACATAAATCTCCATTTATATCCCGCGGCTCGACGCGCGTGTAAATTCTTAGAGATCAACCCCTTCGCTGCTGCAACGCCACGCTCCGCCTGACTGTTATTACTCTCGTACTACTTGTGTGTCTGACGCGTGCGACATCAATTCTACTTTGCCGGTAAAATGCAGTTCCAGGGGCTACTGACGCGAAAATTTAGGAGACACTCCACTGCGTTCGCGCTGGAATGGACATTTTTCTTTCCTATGTGTATTTTTCTATTACTTTAACAATTTAAAGATCGTTACATTCAGTTACGAGTATTTAGTTATTGCTTGGGGCACTTGTTCTTGAACTTTCTTGGATAGAAAATATTTGTTTCGAAAATTGATTCCATCAAGAATTCCAACTAAATTGCATTCACTCTTGTGACCAAGAAAGATATACCAAGTGTCACAAATAAGTGAAAATGATCATTAACGTTGAATTTTGATGCGATACTTAAATTTCTTTCAAATGACGATGTTTCGTCGCATACACTGTCGGTATTCGAGGCGAGTAAAAATTCAATTGACAGTACACATGCTCACGTGTCAGGAGGTGGCTGGTGATCGATTGATATTGACGGGAATCGACAGGGTGAGCTCCGTAATGAGGTTTTCGTGACGCGTCTGTCTCCATCCCCCTTTGGGCGAAACTTCCGTCTGGCTGAAGGGTGAAAAACGACCCGTAACTTTCGAAATTGCCGCAGCGAAGAAGTTGCGGAAACGAGCGTTCGGGCTAACCGCGAGTAGAGGGAATCCGAGCTTCTGTAAACTTGCGGCAAAAGCGTGTTCTTTTCTTTTTGCCACGATTTTCCTGGCTACCGTGAAAGTAACTCCCCAGTCACGACGATTACAAACAATTCCCTTGTATTTCCTACGCGTGCTCGTTTTATCTCGGCTCGCAGAAATCCGCAGAGGTTAATTGAATAAGCTTCCACCCGAGGAATGATCATCCGATATGAATTTCTCGTAATTCTTCCTCTTCGGTTAGAGATTGAACATTCCTTATTCGTCTTTAGTATGGTATTTTCTACTGTGTGCAAAAAAGAAAAAGAAAAAACTTCAAATTGAATATTCAACATATAAAACTTGACAATATTTAATCCTCAAATGAAAAAATATTTGCATCAGACTTTCTGTTGGATGCTATAATTATCGTATAAATAAGTTACAACGCTAATAATAAATTTATTCAATAATAATCAATATTATGAAACTTCTATTTTGTGATTGCAATTTAGCGGACTATACATTTTCTTCGACTATTTATGCATCGGAGTAGATGGCACTTTTCATCTATTTATAATGATTATTTATAATGTTAGCCTTTACTTTAAAAAGTAGAGAACATTCAAGTGTGTAACGAGATCGTAGCGGATACAGAAAGAATACTAACTATCGCGAGCCAGAAAGCTAAATAAAAAACACAAGTAAACTGAAAAAAGAAAATCTTCCTTTGGAACTTTTCCTCTTTTTCTCTTTTCTTTGTTTTCCTTTTCCACAACTTTCCTGCCCGCGTTTCTCGTTTACTTTCTGTATCTTTCATAATCTCGTCAGAACTTGCGTATAATTTTTCCTGCGATCATAAATTAGGCGAAAATGTATATTACCATCTAATATTGATATATTCTTACCTTTCTTATAAACGGTATCGAAAATATTGGATTTTCTGTGCAACTTCCGAGCGAGCAAGTGTCGAGAGGTATTCTAGACTGTGCGCTCCAACTTCCGTCGATAAAATTCATGTTCTGCTTAACATTTATATCGCGAAACTTTAAATTGCACTTTGAAAATCAACTTGTACACACTTTTCTCTGTGTTCGGCCTAATTCTAACTATCTCTGGAGCAAACGCAACAACATTTTAAGTATACGAAATCATTAGCATCTATCTTAATTTGGTCATGAAATCAAAATTTGGAGATTTTATAAAGAATAGCTAATTCTATTATAAAGAGAATGTCAAAAATCAATGTACATTATTTCGTCGCATTCTCAACTTTTTGTCTTATGGAGTTAATCGATTTGTGCAATGAACGGCTCACTTAATAATCAAAGTAGGAATAAAATGGTTAAACCTGCAAGGTTATCAGATGGTGCTCTGGAGAAAACGTCGGAAACAATCTTTGCAGAAACTACTTTTATCGAGTGGATAAAACAAAATGTAAACTTTATATCTGTCTCGTAGATATAAGAGAAAAGTGAGTGCTAGATAAGAGAGGAATTTTAAGAACATTTGAAAGCCTGTTTATTTTTATGGGAAGTGTTCCAAAGCTATTTAACTTTTTAAGTAAAAGCTCGTTTCACAGGATACTTCTTGTAGGCGAAGTTTAATAAAATCGTCTCATAAATAAACGTGGGCGTCCAGACATTCTTAGAATTTCTCTTGTCCATGATACTCACTTTTTACGCTTTATATACACTCAGTCCCATAAATATTCGTATCCTCTATATCTATCGATGAAATTAAATTGTAATTTTCCAGACATGCATGTTGCTGGACATCTTCTGTGGGACGGAAATCCTCTCCGAATGGGCGGTGGTATGGCTCGGGCTGCCCATAATGGCTCACAGCGGCGTGAATCCGTGGATCTACGCTTTCCATCACGGCGAGATGAGGGTGGCAGCTGGAAAAATCACTGAAAAATTAGTGGCTTTATTCGGAGTGACTCCCAGTCGATACGGTTGCTCCCCTTTGAGACGCGGCTCCAACACGAACCTGGAATTAGCAGAGGTGAACAACAGCAACGATAACAGAAGGCATCCCGTGGAGGACTGCTTCGCTGCGAAACCAAACAGTACTTTGTACACCAGCAGACGATGCTTGAACGCTTCAGGAAGACACACGGACATCTCGCCCGAGAAGAACGTCGATCACGGATCCTCCAAAAGCAGAAACTCTGACATAGTCGACGAGGACATCCACGATTTGACCAAGATGCTCGACCTCAAGTACATAATCGACCGCAATCACATGATCGACTCGAACCACAACATAGATAAGATAAAGAACCTCAAATACCTACTAGACCCCACGTTCAACAAGATTCGTCACCTGAGGCGACTGAACCACAAGAGACTCACCAGCAAGAACTTCTCCAAAGCGTCAGAGCCTAAGTTTATCTCCTATCAGAACCTGAAGAGCGATGGAACCTTGAATCGCAAGGCACTGCAGATGAACACTATGTCTGATCCTGTTCTGAGCGCCGACAGCCCCATGGTGCACACCAAGGACTTCAACGATGCCCTAAACTCAGTCAATGCTAAACGAAGAAACTCTAATCTCTGCTCTTTGTCAGACCCTAACATCAAAGCTGCGATAGGGCACTCCTCCGACGTGAATCTGAGGTTACCCACTAGCGGGAACGTGGTCGAGACGCACAGATACTCCGTGCAGAACTTGGACCACAACAGGTGCGACGGAGGTCTAGCTAAGCACGTGATGCTGTCACGACAGTTGGAGAATCAGAGGAGATTCCACGTTTACCCCCGTCCACGAGTGAAAATCAGCAACCCTTTTGGCAGAACGAGTCCTAATTTGAATTTAAAGCTTCAGAACAGCTACACGTCGCCGTCCACGCCGGACAGCGCGAGGTCGAGCCTGTTGAGCAGCCAGAAGACGTCCCCTAAGCACGTGATAATCACTCCTAACCATCTGGCCAACGTGATCCACCTGGATCACGCAACGCCGCGGCAGCTGGAGCCCAGAGACACGGCCTCCAGGTTGCTGCAGGCCAGAAGGAACATCGAGATACTAAAACATTCCGAGTCGATAAACACCATCGAACCTATGACTCGCGTCAGGTTGCTAGAGCCTTACAGAGTCATGGAGACCCTCAACGTCCCGACGATACACTCGGAACCGCCCAGCCCCATAGATCCTCTCCCCCTAGCGTCCCTACAAGAGGAAAATACGAGGAACTCCGACTCGTCGAAGCCCTCAATCGATATCGACCGATCCAAGTCCCCTCTGAACAATAGGAGAAGTCCAGTCAGACATTCTGACCCTGTGATACCATCCGTCTTGCTGAACATCGAGGACTACAGCGAGAATTGCGATAACAAGGACACATTCAGTCAAGACGGTTCCTCGAGTAACCTCCCCTTGTCTGGCCTGGCGCCCTCGATAGAGCCTATAGATCTGTTCGAGGCGTTGATGAAGAACTCGGAGAGGTTTAGAGAGGGCAGACTTCCAGAACCAATCTTCGCTGAACACGACTCCACGAGGTTCAGCTCGCGCAGACCTTCGGATTCGAAGTGGTCGGAGTCTTCAAGGAGTCAGGAGATCCTGTCCAACGTGGGCGAGCACCAGACTTTCCCCTCGTCGTACTCCGTGAATAATTTCCAGGTGTGCAACAGTGGCAGCGACCTCAACGACCTGACGTCCTTGGATCCCTTCATGTGTCCGGACGCCTTGACGTCTTCTTTGCGCGAGTCGTTCTTCAGCGCGCCGTCCGTGCCCGATTCGGAGATCTTCACGTCCTTCGAGGAGAACGACGAGTCCATCCAGACTCCAGACTCCGAAAGGGAGCTCTCGCCTTGCCATTTCGCGTCGACGATGAGCAGGAAGAGGTCGATGAACGAGGCAGAATTCCAGAGCAAGTCCACGGATTCGGTGTTTCGAAATCGGTCGACCAGGTCCTGCACGATACTGCGGCTGGAACCGTCCTTGCATCTTAGCAGGCTCAGAGTCAGGCCAGGTACCAATTACATTATCAAGGACATGGCAGGCAGGGGAAACAAACGCTTGGCGCCTCTCGCCACGCCGACACCCACGGACATTTGCACCCCCACGTTCGAGTTCGTCTCGGAGATCAAGGGCGACAACGGTGTCGGCGTTAGGGTATAGATCTCTTCCGGGTGGTGGAAGCGTTATTTTTCGAGGGAGGAAGAACAAATTCGCTAAGTGGGATGTGGGCAGTTGTAATGGGCGAAATTCGAGAATCTTTTTTTCAAGATTTAAAGACATTATTTTAGATTGAAATCTGTAATTAAATGTTGAGAAAAAAATTCTTGAATTTAGGCTATCGCAACTGAACGTATTTCCTTGACGGAGATTTTTACACGTGCGTCACCACGCGCGCCTACGTCTGTATTTTTATAACAGCTGGATGAATTATTCTGTCTACCTGCTTAGGAGAACGTACTGAAGTAGATAACAATTATCGTGAAATAATGGTATCGAACTTTCAAGTTGGACTGTGATAGTATGACGTGTCTTTAGTGGGATCATAGAACGATCGCGTCAGAGAGGAAATTCTACAATTGTAGCCTTTGCCGATGATTAATCCTTCGACTCTTGATGATTATCTTGGAATGCCTGGCGTTAACCGCGGAAAGCCAGTGGCATTTATTTTCTTTCTATTTTCTCCTCCTAAAAAATAGAAACTTATTTCAGTACTAACCATTGAATCTATTCACTTTTTGAATAATATTGAACGAATAATTAGAGGAAATTGTTACTATAGTTTTACTCGAAAAGTAGAAAATTGTTGTATATATCATACTTAGTATTCTCAAATTAACCATATATCCGAGAAAAAAGATTCAGATTCGTCTAAATATTTTAAACATGACTCCTCGAACAGGAAAAGCACTTCTTTCAAAAAATTACTTTCAGAAACTACAGTTTTTAAAATGTCAAGCTTCTCCTCGAACGAAGTTCAACTCTTTTTCAAATACAAATACAAACAAGGCTCGAAATACCTTTCAAAGTCGCTCAGATTTTACGAGTCCTAGGATTAACGTCGTAACAAGAATTTGTAATATACTACAGAGACTACACTGACATATTTAATATATTAATGAAAAGTTCAAAAGTGTGAAATATATCAGAAGTCAAACGATGTCGAGTTTAGTATAACTGATTTAATTAATCGTTTATAGATATATGAGAATCATTGTCACAAAAGTCGTATACGTATACAACGACAACTCGATTTGCATTTACGAGTATCCTCCGAAGCATAAATTGCGTCGATCCACTATCCTGTTAAAAGGTATAGCATTCTGCGTCACCAGACTTTGCCTCGCCCAGACCTGAATCGTTTAAACAATCGCGCAAACCGTGCCAAGCAAGTTGTGCAAATTTGACATTTTTTTCGAAGAGCGACGTAAGAATTGCAAAGCTACGAACAATATTACCGCTTGTGTACCTGATCGAGTTCGATGATTTACAGGCAAGAATAGTTCTTGTCAGAGCATCTATTTTTTAGGAGTCTCGCAACTAAAAGCCTTCGATATTTGATCCTGCACAGCCGACAAAATCTGTCCTTTCTGTTCTCCAAGTAAAAATGATTTCACGTATTCCTTTCTCATTCACTTGTCTAGTCACGATCAGTCCACGTAATCCTAGGTACACAATTGTAATTAATTTAAGCGACCTAACGTCCGAGACGATTGTCCGCGATTTGCTCGAATTCCTGCAGAATTTCCAACACCAACAAGGCGTGAGTTAGCGTGACATCGAGTTACGATATTTGTTGTTACGAATAACTAATGTGGAAATTCTTTACCACCCCAAAAAAGTGATTTTTCCACGACAAATGATCACATACAAAAGTGATCCGAGACAATATAACAAGCTGTGCTTAATAAAATTGTATGGTAGCACTGTGGCGATATTTTTCCAATGATAATGTATAGTAGGTAGAACGAAAGAAAAATCGAGTGTAACATTTCTTTCTCCCTACAATACTAATTATCAATTCTTCTCTCTCTATGTAAATTTTCAGATTTCAGATTTCCCTTTCTTTGTAAATGATTTACTCTGATATGTGTGTTTAATCTTGCCACGACCTCAATGTCACGTGAACACACGCCTCGACGTAAAGCTCTGCGAGATTACTGCAGAGTGTGTAGATAATTTAGTGTAAAGTAATAACAAGAGATCGTTGTTCCAATGTTAAGTCTTGTCTAATGAGAAGGGGGTGAACGAGAGTCGTTTTAGCGTGGTGTTATTTATTTAAGGAAACTGTACAGTAGAGGGAACGTAAGGACCAAACAATTTTAAACATTCGTACTCTGCTGGGCGTTGTCAATCCTTGGTTCGTAATACGTACTCTAGGCCCTCGATATTCCGCCATTCGAATAAATGAGCGAACGCTTTAACCGAGGTCTCTAACTTTTGTATTATACAGCTGTAAAAGTCGCTTCGCCAGTTCGAATTCCTAAAAACTATCTCGGGACTTCGTAGAACGTCCCTTCAAACCACTCAATGCCAATTAACCGTTAAAAACTACTTTTATACATAAGTTCTCGAAACGGTGCCCGGTGAAATGAAAATTATTTTTGTCACACGTCCGCGGTATTTTTTAAAATGAATTTCCCACCTCTGCGCTCATCTGTGTGCGTGTGTGAACTACTTATCAATAGAAACCCTATTTTTCATTTTAAAGATACAAGTGTATGCGAACCTGTAATTATAAAAATATTCCGTACAGGGACTAATCCAGAAGTAGAAGTGAATCTTCATTGGACTAACCATAGGTCTTAATAACAGGGAAGAGACTTTTGCTAGAGAATAATGTTAAAAAACCAGTTGCAGACTGCAAAATATTGTTGCTAATGAAATTCGGAAATTGGTAAACTATTTGCATTCATCGATTTCGTTTATTTAAATCGATTAATTTTTGTTCAACAAACGGATATTTCGTTAGAAATATTTATTTAAAAAATTTATCCAACTAGTTACAAATCAAAATATTGTCACTTTTAACATTATTTTCTAGTTCTCTTGGCATCTACGAAATTTATTTAAGAAAGTATTTGATCGAACACTTTGGGGTTAATTTTCGCCTCTTGAATGGAAATATCAGCTGGTACAAAATGATACGTGTCTAATATTTTTCAATACTCTATCTGTGTGCAAAGTTTCATAAAAATCGGCGTGTTGGGTGATGTTCCTTCATGCCTCAGATACTCTTTATTTTTATGAATACTATTTATGTATGCTTATCCATACATCTTTAAATAATTCCTGCGTATATAACTCAATCCTGTACTTAATATTACGGAATCTGAACAGTCTCTATTGGAGTGTCTCCGCTAGAAGTAGTTTATTACCGGCAACACGGAAGTAAATGATTATTTCGTAATAATCGCGGTACTCTGAATTCCTGTTTTGGATATACAAGCTCAAAAGAGTTTCGAACACGGCACGTGACACGTGCTGAACACGTTTCGCTACGTTGACGACTGTAAAACGATGTACAATCACTTTTTTCTTTCCACAAGTGTAATATAATAAAATAGGTTCCGTATTTTTCATTCCTTACGCGATTCGTTCTACGGAACTGTCTTCCATTCGTGTAAACGTGTGGAGAAACAAAGGAACGAGGACTGTCGTTCATCTGCAGCGATTTAAAGTCGCTTTACGGGGTACACGCTCGATAATGAAATTTCTTGTACAAAGTAAAAGATAACGTTCATCGGAGTGGAGTGGCACCGATATATTTTTATGAAGAAATCTATTATCATTCTCTGTAGATACGAAATGTTCGAACAAACACGGAATCGCGAACAATTTCACCTGAGACTGTATATTACGTCATTGTTTAGCCAAGTAAACTACTATATATTTGCGAAGAATGATTGAATCCGATGAAAACCGACTAATTTGTCGACAGTATCGGTAATTAAAATTATACGATGGGCCGTTGTAAAAAATAAGCGATTGCGTATATTCCTGTTATTTCAACGAAGAATAACTCACCGATAATTTGCCAGAGGATCGTGAGCAGATGATTGTACTGATTCGCTTTCAATTTATTACGTGTATTATATCTTCCTTTTCATAGTCTTTAATATCACTGATTTGCAGTAAGATGTAAATCCAAGATTAAGCATACGATGAGTCATATGTTTTTGTATATATATAAAAAAAAGTGTAATATATTGATTAGATTAAAACAATTTGGTTTCGTCATTCTCCCTCTACTTCGTCGGTCGGTAAATAAAAATAATTTGTCTTCGTTTCATTATTTCTCTGCTATTTGCTGGTTGCCTGTACCAACTAGTCTGATAATGTAGTCTGTTTGGTCGGTAACGTGATTTAGAGTAATTTGGGTTCGTGCTAGCTTTATCGATAAAGTAATTCACTACTATTAACATATGCTACAATATAGATTCCTACTGCTATCGGTCGTGCAAATAATTTTTTTTCAAATTTAATTATCTTATTATTACGAATTAGAATTGCTTCGAGATTAATGTTCATGTAATGATTCTAAGTTTATATAATGAGAGGGAGCATACAATGCTATATCACTGGTAGATAACAAAGCGGTCGATACAGCGCTATATCACTGGTAGATAACACAGAAGTCGGTAAAGTGCTATTTCACTACTGTTAGATAATAATCAATCGGCATAGAGTAGTGTTGATAGATTCCTTAATTTTCGAGTAGAAAAGAATAACGTTATCGACTTATACAGGACATTACAGACACATAATATGCAATGTTAAACACCTTTATTACACATATGCTGCGTTCACTATTATACTTACATTACTTATAATGTATTTATAATATCCAGATAATATCGTCTTACGTCTCTATACAAAAATAATTACAATAATGATCGTTATTGGCATAGGCAAAATCGTTATTTATTGAAATTTATTGAGCACAATTATTTTTTTTTTCTTATTTTACACAAGTAAACCTATATTAAAAGTCATTTAAAATTATAAGATCTTAATTAACCTCTTATACGTACACACGTTTATAGATGCGTATGCTTGTATAGTGTGTGTATATTTATATTTAAATTCATTCTGTAATACCTACAACGCATACTAACAATATATCAAAGTCTTTTGTTACACTGGTAATATGAATTTTTGACAAAATACTGAATATTTCTTCCATCTTCTACCTTTATCATCTCCACAGTTATCTCTTCTATTTTCGCGTTATTTTCACGCCGGTGTGTTCGCCTGTATTTCTAGCCTCACATGCGCGCGAATTCGAATAGCATTGAAGAACGTTCGATAGTACAATTTTCTTTTTAATTTCACGTGTGCTTACCCGAAAACCCTGATCAATTCGTGATTATTAAGAATATTTTGCTGGTGAGCAGATCGTTTGTCATCGGTCAGGGGAGTCGAATGTCGAGTAAATCGAGTTTCTAGTTCTCAACCCGCGACGCGACAAATCGTTCACATTGAAACCAAAGAACCAAGGCGACCAAAGGCACATGTGCTCGAATCTTGGCGTTTACACACCCGAGCACATGTGCCCTCGCTCGTTCTGGTTCTTTCGTCTGGGTTAGGTGGCTTTATACTCACGCTGTAGTAGAAGTAATATATTTCGACTGCTCAAGGCTACTTCTTTCATTATACTCTTTTATATATTCGAACATTTTTAATGTTCATAATCGTAGAAGGGGACTCGAACCCATCACTTTCAACGTTATAATAAATAACGCTTGCATCGGAGACTGCCAACCATTAGTCCTTATTATTTTACACTAGTTCTTCATTAATATAATATAATCGAACAGTCTCTAATTAAATCTCGGAGCCCCCTGTAGCCTTCTAAAGCTCACGTCTTATCGCTGTGGGTGGAGGTGAGCGATTGGAGGTGGAGTGATTCTGTGGCCTTGAACGGTCAAAACATCTCGCCACCGCCACGTTTCCGAAGTCACGCAGAGACGAACATGAAACATCAGAACGTTCGCGAAACGTATCCGGGCGTACATTCGATTATAAAAAACGGTATAAAATTCGTATTGTGATTTAATCGAGCTTACGAGAAAATTCAGTAATCGATCGAATGGGAAGAAACGTTTAATTGGTTGTAAGCATTATTTTTTTTTTTTTTTGTTTTCTTTAAATAGATGTAGGTGTGTCGTTGACTAAAGTAATGTAATGGTACGTAGAGCTACAATATTATCGATAGTCGTGTTTTCTTTGCGAGTAAACGCGAGCTTAAAAATATTAGAATTCGGCTTCTTAGGTCAAACGACCGTTCCTGTCGTTAACTCGGATCTCGACGCAAACAGTGGAATGTGCTTTCGCGATTTGGAGAGTCGTTTACAAGTTATCCATGGTCTGGCAAGTCGAAAGAAAGTTCAATGACCTGTTAACTGTTCCAGAACGCGCAAACGATTCGATTACTTATACCGTGGGCGAAAGTAAACACGAAGCTCGAAGATGCAGCAAGTGAAACGAGCTGGAATATCGGAGACGGGCAGAATTTTATTCGTTTAATAGATACGAATGAAAATTTCGTGCTATTTTATTCGATTGTATGGTTATTCCGATGAGCTTTTATTCGTTGAATCAAAGGTCTGAACGTGAAATATGATTTAGATCAGTGTTTTCCATTGGATCATGTCAAATATTTATTAAATCTTTTAGTTCAAGAAATTTATAATTTTTTATTTTAAATCCTTTCAAAGAGTTTGGAAGTCAACGATTTACTTTGTTACTTTTTATTGAGCAAATAACATGTGAGATATTGTTTATCTTGTGTTAGTTTTTTAAAATTTTGCCCATCTTCGGTCGAAATAACGCTAGACGATTTTGCATATACTATAAAGGTATGGAACAATCTCGAATTTAATTCGAGGCGCAGCGCCGTTTGGCTGCTGCGGTTATGGCACGTGTTACGTAATGAGAATCTTCTTGTACACTTTCTTCTTCTGACACTTCCGATGTGCAACCATAATTCGACTATAACGTAGGGTGATCATATCTGTAGCGCTTGAGGAGTCTTCGCAATTTAGGGTTTTCAAAAAAATGGAACATTTTTTGTCCATAATTATAAATCATGAATAATTATTTGTTATTAACCATTTATTTTCATCAGGAAAATCACATTGTAGTAAAGTATAAAAATTTAGTTACAAATGATCGTATTACGTCAGACTTTAAAATTGTGTAAGAATACTTATATTTATAACTGGACGAAGTAAATATTAAAAATTCTCAAAAATGATCCATTTTTTGGAGCGTTAAAGTGAGAAGACCCCGCGTAACAAATATTCCCTTACAGACTATAAATAATATTCTCCTATATAGTACAATAAATATATAATAAAGGTAAACAAGTATCTAAAGAATGTAGGTTGAAAATACTGCTAAAATCCTTGCATAGTTAGTAGAAAATTAAATAGAAACTTAGCATAAATTAGTCAATACGAAATCAATACGCAACTAATAATATTATATTAGTAAAATTATCATAGATTGATATTAAAATATCGGCATGTACCGTTGATATAAAAAAAATTCATTAAAATAAAAGAATAGTTTCAATGCATAGCTCATCATTGAAAATAAGAAATGATACTTTGGTTACGACAGAGCTTCTATACATGAAATTCTAATAACTCCCTAGAAATGGCAACAGAATGTGTTGTTCTTGCCTTCTTATTTACTTTACTCGCGATACTTTCCAATTCGATGGAAGAATACGATCACCTTACACCCGTAACATTTTAACTTAAACGATTTAGGCTAAATAAAGATTATTATGGAAATGTCGGGTAACTACTACATTCAAGGGAAAAAAGAACCATGTCTCCCCTTACGGCGATTAAAGCTTCAAAATGAGCAACGATCGTACATACAGAATGAGTCTAAGATAACCAACAGACGCGTATATATTTATATATATGTATATTACTTCGGAAATCGTCAAAATTTTTTCATTTTTAAAATCTCTATCCACGGTTACATAACATTGTTACAATAACACCGCATTTATCTAGACCCGTACCGTACACGGAAATTTCGCGTCGCTTATGTCCAACAATAAATAATTAAGCCGCTGAAAAAACACTTCATATCAATTTTCGACGATCATCATCATCATCATCATCATCATAGAACTATCACTCTCTCTCTCTCCCCTTTCAACTTCACTCCGCAAACGTAATACTAAACGAAACAAATTCATCGTCTTGATTGTATAGCAGTAATTCTTACTTGAGAACATTGTTGCAGTAATAAAAACGTTGTGAATATCTCAATGAATGATAATAGATAATTCTGGATGTTATTTCGTATTATAAAATATATCTGATAAGATAACAGTCTCGACAAGATTTATACAACATTTCCTTCGCTAATTTCGTATTTATAATAACGAAATGCAAATGAAAAACAAATATACAGATAAGACGATTATCGTATCAAATATATTCCCATGGGAAACTTTTATTGCATTTATTTTTTCCTTGTATAGACATTCTTTGTATTTGAATTAAATCGAAGTGTGCAATGTAACCGCGTTTAGATAATTTAATCGTCGAGTCGACGAATCGCGGCAGAAAAGATAGTATGCAGTTCCTCGAGATCTCGTTTCGTTTTTCGTTATCATTTTTTTTATATCTTTTTTCATTACGGACGGCTGGAAAGGGCCCGCCAATTTGACGCTCTCCGATATATTTAAAACCATTACTGCCGATCGCTGCGCCATCGGTCGTTTCACCCGCGAAACAGAAAGGTCTTACCACAGAGTAATGTTACAGATGCCGAACTTCCACTAAAACCACTCACATGAAACTTTTCTTCATATGAAAGTTTACTAAACAATTACCAAATGTCCCACTCATTTCACTAAACCAAGCCTTGGCTGTGAACGTGGAAAATATCCTAATTAATTAGGGCCCTGCAATTCCTAAATCTTAGAAGTTACTTCATATATCCTTCCAGGCAGTGTTGCCAGATCTTCCCAGACAGTGCAGAGCGCGGGGACATGTTGAAAATATTACAAGAATCAATTTTTTCTAACTACTTTGTCATAACAAATAAATAATTTCCAAAATCACAACAACGTCGAAGTTAGGCCTCTGTAAGAGAACTCTGTGGTCTCACTACCTCGAGATTAGGATCATGATCTCTCGAAACCACGTCGAGAGACGACGGTCCATCCTCTCGTTACGATAACAAGT